CAAGGTTCTATTCCTCACTTAGCTACCAACTAACTCTCTGAATATTAGCAAGTCAAGAGTATCATTCTGGGCCTCAGTTTTCTCTGCTGTAAAACGAAGGCACTGGACTAAATGTTCTTTATATTCCCTTCCAATTTTGACAATCTCTGAATCTATGAAAAGAAGATGAGGTAATGTGGCAGAGTGGTTGGAAATCGTGGAACAGGAAGACCTGAGTTCAAGTCCAGCCTTTTGACATATATTGGCTGTGCGCCTTTGTCAGGTTACTTAACCCTCAGTGCCCCAGGCTATTTCCTGATAGTTAAATTGCAGAGTGGTTGCCATCAGCATTGATAAGTTTTCTCGACAAGAGTTTCCTAAACAGAAGAAATCAAAGATGTGCTCCTAAAACTAAAAAATTAAAAGTAGTATAGTATAATATAGTATAGTGTAGTATTAGTATAAGTACCTCTAAATGTAGTATTAGTACAATATAGTAGAGTATTAGTAGAGTATAACAGAGTAGACATAAATTAGCAATAATATAGTGAATCTAAATTAGTAGAGTATAATACAGTATTAGTCTTTTATAAGCATGGTATTGCATTAGTCTGATGAAAGCATATAATATAGTATTAATATGGTACAGTTAAGTACAGAATGAGTATAGTATAGTATTAGTCTAATGTAAGCATAGTATATCGGCAGCTAGGTGGTTTCGTGAGAGATCAATGGGCCTGGAGTTGGGAAGACCTGAGTTCAAATCCAGCTTCAGACACTTACTAGCTGTGTGACCCTGGGCAAGTCACTTAGCCTCTGTTTGCCTTAATCCACTGGAGAAGGAAATGGTAAACCACTCCATTATCTTTGCCAAGAAAATCTCATGCACAGTATGGTTCACAGGGTCAAGAAAAGTCGGACACAATTGAACAACAACAACATAGTCTAATCTAGTCTAGTATAAGTGTAGTATAGTATTAGTATGGCATCGTATTAACTAAGCCTAGCCTACAGTCTAGTGCAGTGTTAGTACAGTATTAGGGGTATGTTGTGGCGTGGTCTGGTTCCTCTGTGTTTCTCTCGGGGACAGCAGGCCTATAATGGGGGGGGGGGGACACACAGTTCACTCTAGCCTATAGAATAAAAGACTCATCGACTTGTACAATGGAAGAGCTCTGGACTAAGAATCACAGAACCTAAATGACAATCCCAGCTCTGCTACTCACCTGTGTGACTTTCTTAAACTTTCTGAATCCCAGTTTTCAATAATTTGTAAAATGAGTATTTTAAATTTTAAATTTCCTTCTAGCTCTAAACTGATGATCCTATAGCCATCTAGCCCAACTCTACCATTTCACAGATAGGGAAACTCAGAAAGGCAAGGTGACTTTCCCAAGGTCGTCTAACTTAAGAGTGGCAAAACCAGGACCCCAGCTTAAGTATAGTGACTCCCAAGCCTAGTGCTTTTTCCGTTCCTTCAAAGCAGCAAAAACCTGGTGCCCAGAAGCCTCAGTGGGTACCAGAATACACAAGAGGAACCCAAATGGCAAAGCAGGTTTATTTCTTTGATATGGCAAAGTGAGCAGGATAACCTGAGTCCAGAGATTGGAGAGAGAATATAAATGACAAAAGCTCCCACCAGGAAACCCAACCAGTGGAAGGAGAATCAAAGAGGAAGAAAGGGTGATGATACACTTATCTCTGTCTACTGAACCTTTTGCCTAGGGCTACTGAGGTGGTGCAGTGGATAGAGTGCTGAGCCTGGAGTCGGAAGACCTGAATTCAATTCTTCCTCTGGACACTTAGCCTGTCTGCCTCAGATTCCTCAACCATATAATGGTTTAAATAAAATAGCACCTACCTTCCAGGGTTGTGGTGAGGCTCAAGTGAGATGAAAGCACAGTGCTTGGCACATGGTAAGTGCTATACAAATGTTAAATATTATTATTATTATTATTATTATTATTATTATTATTCTTAGGCAGTCACCCAAAATATCCATTCATTTAACAAGTATTTACAACCACCAATCACAAGCATAGCACTGTGGGACCCAGAGGGAACAACTGTAAGACAGTCCCTCCCTTCCAGGAGTTTCCATTTTAGTAAGGGAGAGAACATGTCCACAAATAATTATATTAGGTGGTAAATAATGAAAGCTACATGAGTGGTACAGATGTCCTGTAGGAGTTCAGCGGACTGAGACAGCTTTTTGTTTTTGCTGGGGTGATTATCTAAGGTGGTAAGATTTGAAATTGGAGGATTTCAGTAGACACAGAAGGGGAGGGAAGACATCTACAGAATCTTAGCATGTTAGAACTAAATGGAATTTAGAAGTCATCTAGCCTAATGCCCTCATTTTACAATGAAAGCCTATGTTTGAAGGCATGCTCACATTCAGAAAACTGAGTAGTACAGTTTGGCTTATATAAGGGAATAGTGAGGAATTTTTTAATGGATATTAAAAAAAAAAAAAGGAAGGTAGATTTGGACCAGACTGCAGAAGGCTTGAATGCCAAAAGAAAAATCCTAAAGATAGTGGGGAGCCATTTAAGATTTTAGAATAGGGAAGTGACATGATAAAAAGCAGTATTCTAGCAAGACTGATCTGTCCATCTGGTATAGAATGAGTTGGAGGGTTCACTCCCCGATTCTCTTACCCCTCCCCAACTTCTCAGAAAACCTATTCACAGGGTTTCCTAGAGCTGCCTGAATATGGTCATAAAGTAATGACCAATCAGGCCCAGAATGGAGAGCCATTTTATGTGTGCCCCCCACCTCTCCAAGAAGCAAGGGCTTTGGGAAGTAAATGGCAGAGCGACTGAGAAGCCAAATTGACTAGTTCAGGAACTGAGTTTCCAAAAGAGAAATCCCTCTTCTCTTCTACCATATTTATCACAACAGGGATCTCAAAGTTTGGAAAGTTACTGGACCATTTACTTCATAATTACTCAAACTTCAAAACATCCTAATCCACAACAAGCCCAGCTGCCTGGGCCCCTCTCTTTCTGGCCTTATTAATACTCTGGGGTCTCTCCATGCAAAGTCTTGTTAATTAATTACGTAGTTAAACAATGAGATGGAAAATTCTGCTGTGATCTATTAAAAAAAATCACTGCCCCCTGAAGTCATGCTGTCCAGGGGTGTGTTGAGCCCCGGATTTCACTTAAGGACAACAGGCGCCATGGCCACGGCCATGGGCTGTGATTGTTTACAGCACATGGACAGGTTCCACACCAAGGCCCATTTGGTGGAGTTGATTTAAGGCTCTCATTAAAATGTTCCTTTGTTGAGCACAAGGCAGCTTCCCCTTCACACACACACACACCAAGAGATTCCAGACCTCATGTCCCATTCCTTGAGCTCCCTCTCGGTACCCCCCCCATTCCCTCCCCTCCACCACCACACACTAACGTCACAGGATTAACATCTGAGGAGTTGGGTCTTCTCCTCACCGAAGGAATTTAGCATTTGCTGTACATGGGCACTGAGGCTCCAGTTCCACAAGAATACCCACTCCTAGAACTCCTGGAACACTCCTTTCGAGGAGCCATCACAGCATAAAAAAAGTACTAAAAGGCAGAGCCTAGAAGACAGCCTTTTCCCATATGGTTAGAGGACTCGATCACAGAAACAACCACCAAACTTCCTTTCAGAACAGATGTGGACCCAGCCATATGTAATAACCAATACACCAATCACATTCCTCAAGGGGTCTAAGACAGTTCTAGAAGTAACCCAGGACTCCTTTACCTTTATGTGTAAACACTTGTTTCTCCTTTGCTTCCACCAAGTCCTATGACCTGAGGCACAAAAAGTAAAGATAACAGAAATTCACCACCTCTAAACCCCCCCCCAGTCAAATTCACTAAACAGGTGTCACAAATATGACTGGGTCAAACGTGCAGGACAAGCAGAAAGCCAAGAATACTGCCAGAAACTTCATCTCACAGGGAGCACAAGGTCTCAGGGAGCAGCTGCTATTATGGGTCAAGAAGGCCAACTATCTCAATGCTGCTCCAGAATTCTCTGCTTCTTCTGAACCAGCTCCTCTTAGGTGTGAGCAAGCCAGCAATTAGGATGGCCACAAGCTTGGGGGAAAAATGGGAAAGGGTACATTCAGGACAGTGTTAAAAAATATAGGACACCAAATGATAGAGATCACACACACACCTCAAACGAAAGTGCCTGGGACCTACAAGGAGAGAAGGGATAAACTTTTCTGCTCGTACCTTCCAATCCAAGGCTAGATAAATAGAACGAAAAGGGCCAGTAGGTATGAGCTTTTTTCAGCCTTGGCCCCCACCATCCAAGGCAGAATGGAGACTGGGGAAGGGGGTCAAATCCCCAACTGAGCAACCGCCTACGACCTCATTATCCACCTCTTCCCCGGGCCAATCATGCCCGATTTTGGCAGGGGCCACCGTAACTCCCTGGTGCCAGCGGCAGTCTGTGCACAGCCCGTACCCAGCCGGCCTGAGCAGCTCCTCCGGGAGCCGGGCAGGGGGCTCGCTGCCCCGGATGGGCAGCGGGGGGGGTCCCTAGTCCGTCCCCTCGGTGCGCGCTTCCCAGAATCCCAGATCGCTGCTTAGCAGAAGGAAGGAGGAGGGAGCCGGACCGGCTTAACAAAGGTCCATCCGCGCTGGGGCGGACGGATGGATGGATGGATGGCTGGATGGCTGCGAGGAAGCTCCAGCACCCCCCGAGCGCATCCCACCTCCCCAAAGAAAGGGCTCCGCCCGGAGCCGGGCATCACCCCGCCCCGCCAGGCGGCCGGCCCCAAGCGGGTAGGGCTCTGCGGCTCTCCCCACTCGGGCCCCCGGAGCCCGGCAGCCCGCCGTGGAGGCAGGAGGAGGGGCGCCCGGGCCAGGTCTCTCCCGGCAGGTACGGCAGAGCCGTGCCGGCTCGGGCAGGGAGAGGCCGCTGCCCAGGTGGGCTGCCTGCGCTCTCCCCCTGGGCGCCGGCCCCGCTCCGCACCCCGCGCTCTCCTCCCCAGGGCGCTCCGCTCCCTCAGTACTCACCACCCAGCAGCAGGAGAAAGCCGAGCAGCGGCGGCCGGCGGGAGCTGCCCGGGGCCCCCGGCTCCGCTTCCATCGCGGCCGGCTCTAGAGGAGAGGACGAACGAGGAAGAGAGGGAGCGGGGAGCGGCTCCGCCGCGCGGGGCAGGACGCGAAGGCGCTGCTGCTAGGAGCCGGAGCCGGGGCCGGACCGCCGCCGCCGCCGCCGCCGCCGCCGCCGCCGGAGCCCGAGCTGTGCCGAGAGCAGCCGAGCCGAGCCCGCGCGCCCAGTCCCCCGAGCAGCCCGCAGCCGCGCGCCGCCGCCAAGGGAAGCCCCGCCCCTCGACGCCCCCACAGAACCCCTGTCCCGGCGGCGCGCACCGCCCCCCTCGCAACCCGCCCCCCCTGCAGCCCCGCCCCTTCAGGATACCCCTCGCCCAGGCTGCTCCCAGAGCCCCGCCTTCGCAGAGCGCCCCGCCCTCTCAGAAGCCCACTCCCACCACCCCCACCCCCGCTCAGCCGCAGTTGGGAGCCGAGCCCCGCCCCCTTAGTCCCCCCACCCAAGCCTCCATTTAGAGCCCCGCCTTCTCAAGCCCCCAGCTCCGTGTCAGCCTGGTACCCTGCCTCCTTAGAACCCACATCTTAGTCGTGGTGCGGAGCCCGGCTCCCTTAGAACCTCCTCAACCTCAGCCTCAGAGTTTCATAAATTGGGCAGGATCTGGGAAAGACCTGGTGGGGATGAAGGGCAGTGAAGGGGGAAGGAGGAAGATGGAGATGATGTGGAAAAGGGGGGGGGAAGGCGGGGGCGGGGGGCGGATAATGGGGATAGAGAGGCGAGTAGGTGAGGGTGGTACGGGAAAAGAAAAGAGAGGGGGGAGGATGGTGTGGGAAAAGACCGGGTGGATAGGAAATGGGGGACAGTACAGGGAAGGAAAGGGAGGGATGCAGGACAATGTGAGAGATCTTTGGGGGAATAGGAGACAACGTATTGAGGAAGGAGGGAGGTGAGAGGGAATAGTGTGAGGAAGAGAGGTGGGGAGAATAGGGGACAGTGAGAAGAGAAAGGAGACCTGGGTGGGAAGGGGAAGAGTCGGGGAGAGACACATTTGGGAGATGGGAATGATGGGGAAATTGTTTTTGAGAACTGGACAGTTGGAGGAGACCCTAGGAATTGTATACTAAGTCATATGGGTCAGGCTTGGGGCTGTCCTCAAAAACTACAAACAGGGACCCCAAGAAAAATAATCTCAAAGAGTTGGGTGATTTCAGACCAGTTGTTTAGTCCAGGGAGAGTAACCCAGTAACCTTAACTCCTACATCAACCTTAGAACCACTGTTTCCTTGGTGTCCTCAGGACTTGAAGCTAATTTGAATCCCCCAGGACATGGCTGCCAACTGGAGAAGACTCCACAGGGAAGCTGTGGTCTGGCTCTGGCCCAGCACCAATCTGAACCTAAAGCTAGAAAAGGCTGGCCTCAGGAATGCAGCAAGCAGAACCTTATTAGCCAGACAACTTCAGTCCCAAGTCCATTAGTGGACAACGTGAGCTGCAGGAAGCCTCCATGACCGGGGTGGGGTGGCTGGTTAGGTCTCTAGTGGTGGGTCTGCCTGGCGTAGCCCTTTTTCCAAACCTCTCAGTGGCCCCCTCCCCTCCCCACACACACATTCTTCCTTTGTTGTAAGAGCTGCAAGGGGTGTAGGAGGAGGGTGTGCAAGAGACAGACTCCACAAGATAGGCTCCAGCTGCTGCTCACTCCTTCAGGATGTGCTGGGAGAGATCACAGTGTCTTCTTTTCCAGTAGGCTGGGAATGGGGGTGGCTATGGAGTGGAGAGAGGGACCAGGACTGCAGGGGTCCAGCTTAGCCTTCACTTCCGCCCAGCCTTAAGCTGAGAGGATGGTGGGGGGAGGGCTTCCAGAATCCCAGAGCTTTGGGTGAACAGCTCTCCCTCTGCCCCAGTAACAGAACTCTAGGGACCCACATGGCCACCACATGGGAGAGCCAGTTTTCTTTACAGCTCATACTTTTTACAGAGCTCTTCCTGGCAAATCCTTGACAATCAAGTCTTGCTAATAAGTTTCCTATGTCCCCAACCTCAATCTTAGAGGATATGAGTTTCAACACAACCCCCAAACCCTTCACTGGCATCCTTGAAGACCTCACAAGATAAACTGGATAAGGAAAAAAGACAGATACCAATAAAAACAATAGCTAACATTTATACAGTGCTTCAAAGTTTGCAAAGTACTTTACATATGTTATCTCCTTTGACCCTCACAACAAGCTAGTAGGTGCTGTTACTACTCCCATTTTATAAATGAGGAAACTGAGACTCAGAGAAGTCAAACGACCTGCCCAGAGTCACACAGCTAGTAAGTGTTTGAGGTACAATTCAAACTCAGGTGTTCCCAATTCCTAGGCCAACGCTCTAGCCATTACATTATCTAGCCACTTATACCTCCTCTTTCTAAGTACATGATCATCTCTTCTCCCTTTTCCACTGGTCTCCAGTATTTACCCCGGATCCTACCCTATTCCCCCAAGACAAATGTGGAAGACTCGTATCCTGATTATTTTATTTAAGAAAAGTGAAATAGTTGGACCTGAAGAAAAGGAGCATATAGAGAAAAGAGAGGCCAAGGAATAGGAATTTGGCCAGTCCAAAGACCCTTCATACTAAAACAATGATAACAGGCCTCAGCCCTCCATTCCTGTGGCATACCTGCTTCCTAATCCAGTCCCTGGAGGATTTAGCCCTACTCTAGAAGACAGCAGAGGAGTTAAAGGGGGCCCAGCAGGGCCTTCCTGAGGGTGCAGCCAAAGCCCAAATGGGTAGAACAACCCAGCAGTTTACAAGTTTTCATCCCCACTGGTCCACCAAGGTCTGACAGTCTGTTCCTTAGGACATGGTAGAGGCAGGAGTCACAGAGAATGCTGTATGTTTGTAGAATCACAGTAGGGAAGATCCTAAGGAGTCAGATGTCAGCTGCTTGAAGAGAGGTTCATAGTGCTAGCACTGAGGCCTCGGGAGCCCTGAAAGAAATCACACTCCATCAGGCCAGGCCACCCTTCCAAATCCCTACTGCCTGCCCATTTTTCCTCCCAAAGGATGGGCTGTTGTGACCCATCTCATATCTAGGGCTTTTGTTCTTTTCTCCCAGTCCCTAGAATATGCTATAAGATTCAAGCTTAAGAAGGGGTTGTTTTGGGAGGGTTTTTTGCCCTTCATTAAAAGCAGGCCCCTAGAATTTTCCTTAAGTCCTATTCATGTGAAGAAAATAGCTTGGATATTATCTGTAGATCACAGACCTCAGAGCTGTGAGGGACTTGGAAAACATGAGTCCAAACCCTTCATTTGTCTGATTTGCAGCCCAAGAAGGTAAATGACTTGCCCACAGTCACACAGGTAATAAGGAACAGAGTTTGGGATTCAAACCTAGGTACTTGGACCCCAAATCCATGGCTCTTTCTACTAAACCATGTCTTCATATCATTTGTTGCTGTGGATGATCACTTTCCCATTAAAGTAGTAATTTGCCCTTGAACCAATGTCACCTTTTTTCAGTGTTTCTATTTATTCCCTCTCCCCCATACCCGAGTCCATTCCCCCAGAAGTACACAGCAAGTACATACTTCTTTATTCTCTACCTTTCATCTCAGATATGCCCTTTGATAACCCCCAAGAATAAGCATGCTTAGCCTTCTCTCCCCTCCTTTCCAATGCCTCCCATCTGAATGATCTCAGATGGCCCCATTCCTTACTCCCCTCCCCCTCCCCCCAATCTCTTCTACTTGGACTCTGGCTGTCGGTCCTTACTTGACTCCTCCTCAGCTGCTCCCCTTCCTACTTCCCACCCAGGCACCCCCCTCACCTGAAAGGACTGCTCGCTGGGCTGATTCAGATGGTTTAAGGAGGCGGCCCGCTTGATGTTGCTACTGTAAGGGAAAAAAGAGAGTCTCCTGAGCCTAGCTTTCCCGAGCTCTAGGATCCCCCACCATTGCCAACTTGATCACTCATTTTCTTCACTTGCCTTGTTCCTTCCCTCAGTTCTTGCTCCTCTGATGGGTTCTCTTTTCCTGCCCTTGTGCTACACACCCACCCCCCTCTACCTGGAACTCCCCCTCCCCAGCCAGCCAACAGGCCTCCTTCCTTCTTGTGTACTTCTTCAATATTTACTTTTTTTTCAGGGAGCCCTGGCCATAAGGAGGGGAGGAGCTCGGGAAAGGCCTTGTTTACCCAGTTAGCTGTCCTCCCACCCCAGTGTGTACCTGGAGGATCGAGGCTCATTTCCCTGCAGCTTTCTTACTAGCATTTCACTGCTTCGTCGAAACACATCTCGGATCTTGCCTAGAGAACCACTTCTCTGCAGGGTTCCACTGCCATCCTGGAGGCCGATGGAGGGGAGGGCAGCTGACAGGGAGGCTCAGCAGACTCTCACCTCCCCCACCCAATTCCACCCCCAGCTCTATGCTTCTGTGCCCCATGGAAGGTTGGACCTGGATCAGGTTCTCCTCTATTAGGGGAAGAAAGATTCTGTTACCCAAAGCTTTTCTCTACCCGGATGGGAATGTGGCATGAACAGAGAAAATGCCAAAGCAGAACAGAAAGGGGGAAGGGATAATTTCAGGTCCAACACTGTGCCCAACAGTTCTACCCACACACCTCCAAGAGCAGCAAAGGGACAAGGTATGGGGAAAAGAAAAGGGGGAAAAAAAAATCACTCACCCCTGACCACTCTACAGCCACAGAGGCCTCCTCACCCCCTTCAAATTTAACACTGGCTCCAGGGCTTTCCTGGGCCTCCCCAAGCAGCTCCACTACCTTAGTCTGGCTGATGGGGTCTGTGCCCTGGCAGGAAAAGGAAGGGAGGAGAGGTTAGAGTTTTCCAGATCCACAGATTCCTTAGGATGTTTTTCCAACCCCCAGCCACAAACCACCCACCTACAATCATCACCCCAATGTGACTCTTCATGGCTTAGCCCACATAAAGGTGAATGGTCATTCCCCTAAATTTTCTCTCCTCTTCCCCTTCTAACAAAGTGTTAATTGGGTCTGGACCCCTGGTGAAAAAAAAAAGGTAGAAGGAAACAAGCATTAATATAGCACTTACTATTGTGCCAAGTACACAACAACCCTGAAAGGTAGGTGCTATATGATCCCCATTTCACAGATGAGGAAATTGAGGCAGGCAAAGGTTAAGTGACTTGCCCAAGGTCACACAGCTAGTATGTGTCAAGGCTGGATTTAAACTCAGGTCTCTGATTCCACAGCCCAGCACTGTATTTATTCCCTGCCCTATTTAGCTTAGAAAACAATGTGGGCTCAATGTCCTCTTTAATTCTAGCCTCATTTTAAAAAATTGTTCCCTGCTCCTCCCACTTCCACTGAACCAGAGAAGAGCCTGAGCTATTCATCCCCAGGGTGTCTCTCCCCCAATTTCCTTCCCTCTCTAATTTCCTACCTGTTTTCTGGAGCGCAAGGCACATTCTTCCAGAGTCTCAGCTGCCTCTAGTTTCCCTTGGCGGCGGTAGAGAGCCCCAAGATTCCTCAGGGTAGTGTTGACTGTAGGGCTGTAGGTGGTGAGGCCAGAGAAGGGAAGTTGGATCAGAGAAGGGGTTGTAAAGATGATATCAGAAAGAAGACAAGAGAAAGACTGGGGGAGGGAGGACCTGGAGTCTAGACTACTGGGGTACAGGAAAATAGCCTAAGCCTATTCTTATTCAACTACCTCAACTGGGCCCTGAGCATCCCTCTTACCTGCTGACCTTGCATGCTTTGTACCAGCCTCCATATTCAGCATAAGGTATGCCATCCCGGTGCCGGTTCTGCAAAAGGGCATGGGGAGAAACATGAGAGATAAGGAAGCTTTTGAGGTGTGAATGAGGACAGTGCTAAAGCATTCTCAGTGTCACAATCTGGGCTGTGGAAGGTGCCCTGAGCCAATAGAGGCAGCGAAAGAGACTTTGGGGGGTCAGGAGAAAAGAATGAAACAGAAATGAGGACAAAGCTATCCTCAGTGTCCCAGGGTCTGTACTCCCACACTCACTTTGCTCATTTCCTCTCGCTCCTCTGCATGCATCCATATGGGCTTGTGGTCATCTGGGGTGGGGGGGTGTAACATATGGGACAAGAAATAGAAAGTTTAGAAGGATGTGGCTGGGTCTGAGGGAGTCAGGTCCCAGGGGCAGACCACACTGCCTCTGGGCAGCAGGACTAAGTCACCCCTGGGAGCCACTGTAGCTTTAGGTCACGTTCTTCCCTTTGGCCACCCCCAAGTCCCACACACCCACCATCCACAGACCCAAACTCCTGCACGTGGGCCCGGGTTAGAATCTCCTTGTACAGAGTCTCAGCTTCTGCATATTTTCCCTGTTTCAGGTAGCAGGAAGCCTGGGGTAGGAAGCAAAAGGAACAGATGGGATATTATATAAGAGATGAGAAGAACAGGGAGGTCAAGAGAGAGGAACAAGGTTTCTCTCAGAGAGGTTACAGAACAACTTCCTTGCCCCTCCCCTAATCTCTCTCCACCACCTTCTACCCCAAATCTAGCCTTCCTAATCTTGTCATTTCCCTAGTTTACCACTAACTTCCCAGTACCCCCAGCCTCAAACATCACTCTATCTTTCCCCTTCTCCCCCAGGGAAGGGCTTGGTAAATTCTGAAATTAGCCAGTTCCCACATCCTGGAGCAGCTCTTGCCCACTTCTCATAGCCCTGGGATGGAGATGAGAGAAAGTACAGAACTAGAAGGGTAGAAGCACTACATAACCAGGTAGTTGCCAGGTCATGACCCTAACCAAAAGAAACCATAAATTAAAGTGCTTTGCAAACCTTAGTGTCATATAGATGTTAACTATCATAATTATCATGACTGCTATTACCCATCTCTTCCCACCAAACAGTGTCTCCAGTAGGAGAATGACCAGGTAGACTAAGGAGGATTCTGAGGACTCTGATAGCCTGAGGGGCTCTGGGTCCTCCTTTCTTCCTTTTCCTTCCTCCCCTCACCAGATTGTTCTTGGTGCGGGCCACATTCGGGTTGTCCGGCCCCAGCTGGCCCTCATAGATGGCCAGGGCCCGGCCATAGTACCGCTCTACTGCCTCATATTTGCCCTGGTTCTGACACAGGAGGGCAAGGTTGTTCAGCTGCTTTGCCACATCTGGGTGGTCAATGCCCAAGACCTGGCAGGGACAAACAGAGGAGAATGAATGCAGGTCGTGGGGTAGGTGGGAAATGAGCCAGAAGGGGAAGACTTGAAGAAGAAAGCAGAGAGAAAAAGGCTAGGGCTGGGGCAGAATGAAGAAGATAGAGGAGGGCTAGAGAGAAAGAATCCCAGATCTAGGAGAAAGGAAACACCTTTTCTCGGATCTCCAGGGCTCGCTGACACAGTGGCTCTGCTTCCTTATACTTGCCCCTCTTCCCATACAGCACAGCCAAATTGTTGAGAGTGGCAGCCACCTGTGGAGAAAACCCCATCCTTGTCAAAAGACAGCTCAAAGCACCCATCAATCCAAGGGTACAGGACTTCCCTTAGGGACACAGAAGCTGCCACTCCAGGGATGCCTCATTCCCTTCATCTTTTTTTCCAGCAAATGGGCTCCACTGAGGAGATAGCTTGATAGGATTTAGAGGGTAGCTATCCTAAGCCCACCCTCCCCCTATTTGAGAGGTGTAAAGGAAAATCAGACATGCTAAGATGGGATAGGGGAAGAAGAGGAAAGGATGCTGACCGCTGGGTGGTCCCGGCCCAGGGTGCTCTCCCGGATGCTCAGGGCGTCATTCAGCAAGTGGGCTGCCTCCTTATATTTGTTCTGGTCCCTGCAGGGGGACAGGACCCCAGAGTTAATGGGGATAGGTCATCTTGTACCTGCATGATCCCATCTCCCTCTAGATAGCCCAGGTCATCCCCATCAGTCACACATTATTCATATTTAGTCCTCTTTTCTTTGGGGTATAGGGGACAGCTAGAAAAGCTTCTCCTTCTACTAGGAGGACAGAAAGCCTGGTGTAAGTACTACTGGGAAGGACTCACTGATACCACAAAACCTGTATATGGAACAAGACAGGTCTTCCCCCTGAGGAAAGAGTAGAAGGCCAAGAAGAGATAGTGACTCTGATGCATAGGGGATAGGGAGCTTAGACATAGGCATCTAATGGGAAATGAAACAAATCATAAGGCCTAAAACACAGGAGTTAAAAAGGTAGAAGTTGGGGGAAGAGGTAGGAAGGATCTGGGGACCATTCCATCATCCTGAGTTTTCTATGTACACTGCACATAGCAGGTGATAAATGTCTATTGTTCTTGTTTTTGGTAGTAAACAGGAAGACCTAAGGGAACTTGAGAAAGGGAGAACAGGGCCTCAAGTAGGGCAGAGTGAGACAGGTATACTGACTAGGATGATGGGGGGAGGGGTGGGAGTGTGGGGGTGAGGAGTAAGCCTTACCGATAGACCAAGGCAAGGATGTTGAGCATGGTGGCTACATCAGGGTGACCTCTGCCTGAGGTGCGCTCCAGGTCTTCTAGGGCCTGTTTGCAGAGTGGCACTGCCACCTCATAACGGCCCTGAGCTGCATACTGGATCACCAGGTTGTGCAGGGTCCGAAGCCTCGCTGGGATCTCATAACCCCCGTGCTGAGCAGCTGAAGTGCCCTTGGGCACTGGGACAGCACCACCCCACAATCTCAGAGGCCAGCACTGTGCCCACAAAGGACTCCTCTACTCACCTGAGGCCCACCCCTATCCCCATTGCTTCCAAGCTCATGGCTTTTCCCTCCATCAATGGTCCCCACCCTAAGTCCATTCTCAGTTCTTACCTCCTCCCCTGCCTGTGCCTTTTAATGACACATATAACTTCCTATACTTCTCACCCCAATCCCTTTATACTCCATGCCAATTTCTATGCCCTGCTATGCCAGAACCAGGGCAAGAATGAGGAAGAAGAATGGTACCAGAAGTGGGTGGCTCTTAAGCTGCCTATCTGCAAGAGGCAGTTGAGGCCAGAGAGCACAGGCTCTCCTTTTTATCTTATTTACCCTCCAGCCCCAGGGATGGACTCACGGTCATGGCTGGGCTCTTCTTCCTCCTCATTGGGGAAAAGATCATCCAGGGAATCCTTATTGGAGTTGCCCTCTTTCTCCTCCTAGAAGAATTGAAGCAGTACATGATGGCAAAAATCCCCTCCTGACAGGAGTTCCCTGTAGGAACTGTACAACAGGACCACTAACTTGTGGGATCCGTAACTTACAAAACCATCCATCCTTTTGATTCTAGGAAGGACAGGACTTAACCTAAACAAATGTGGTCTCTTGAATTTTTAAAAACCCAGCTCACGGTCACCCATGTTAGAATGTCATATACCTCCTCCCTTATTATTCTACTTATGAACTGGCTCCTTCAGAAAGCTTTTCCTTATTAACCCTCTCCCATTTCCCAACTTGTTAATACAATCTCTACTTCCTTCCTCCCACTCAATTCAGGTAATTACAGCATTGTAGTGATCTGTATGTGCTTATGTGGATTATGTGTCTGCTTCATCTATCCTGAAGGCAGGGAGTGTGTCTGATCTTTAACATGTACCCCAAGCATCTAGGCTAGCACTAGACCCTTCCCAATACTCAAGGTAGATTTGCTGACTGACTCTCACTGGTTTTTTTGTAATTATTATTATTTTGTTAAATATTTCCCAATTACATATTAAAAATTTTTAACAACCATTTTTTTAAACTTTGAGCTCCAGATTCTCTCCTTCCCCCCATCCTTGAGAAGGCAAGCAATTTGACCTTGATTATACTTGTGAAGGCTGACTCTCATTGTTAAGAAGTTCTTCCTTATGTCTAACTTTGTTCCCTTGAGGCAAGATCCTTTCTCTCCATAAAGACTATCATCCTTATTAAAGCACTATCTCCCATGGTTTCAGAAAAACTTAGGAATACTTACATGAACTGATGCAAGGTAAAGTGAGCAGAACCAAGAGAACACTGTACATAGTATCACAATATTGTAACAAGATCAACTGTGAAAGGCTTAGGTACTCTGATCAATACAATGATCCATGACAAAGGGATCATGAAGAAAATTGCAATCTACCTCCAGAGAGAGAACTGATGAACTCTGAGGGCAGAATGAAGCATACTGTTCTTCACTTTATTTTTCTTGCCTTTTTGTGGGGGGCAGGGGGAGAACATGGCTAATATGGAAATGTTTGCATGACTTCACATATGTGAGTATCATACTGCTTACCTTCTCAATGGGTGGGGGAGAGGCTAAAGGGACAGTGCATTTAGAACTCATAAAAAAAAAAGAATAGAAAAAAAGATATCCGTAGTGCAAAAAAAAAAAAGAAAAAGAAATACTACCCCCTCCTACCTTTTCAACCTAATTTCCATTGAAATTCTATTGAGAATTAGAAGCCTTCACTTCAGCACAAATGGTCTACCTCTCCTCTCTCTCAAACACTTAACTTCCCTATCCCTATTTTAAGCCTTCAGCTCCTACTTTGGTGCCCCAGCAGAACACCTGGGTTTGAGTCCTACCTTGGACATTTCCTAGTTCTGTGGCTTAACTCATGGAAATCACCTAACCTCCCTAAGCCTTATTTATTTGTAAAAATGTGGACAATTCCTCTTGTACCGTCTCCCTCCCAGGGCTCAAAGAGTCTGACTGGAAAAGATGTGATGGACTATGTGTCTGACAGTCCGAAGGACCAGCCGAGCTAATTTTGGAGAGAGTCATCTCAAGTTCAGCTGCCTGTTGACTGGTGGATTTTTTTTAGCCCCTTCAACTCTCAGAGATCATCTAACAAGATATAAAAGAGGTGTCACCTATGCTGGTAAAGGGAGCACCTCCAGTGATGAAATTATACTCTGGAAGTATGTGAAATTATATAATATGAAATTATACCCTAAAATAATACCTTGGAAGGACTTACAAAGTGGCAAAATATAAGAAGTACTGGGCATGGAACCCAGAAATAACTGGGTTTGAATCCTAGCTCTGGCATGTCCTACCTATGTGACTTTGAATAAATCAACCTGGCCTCTCTAACCCTCAGTTTCCTCTTCTGTAAAATGGGGACAAATACCTGTACTATCTACCTCACAGGACTGTTGTGAGAATAATTCTTTGTAAACCTTAAAAAGCTACATAAACATGAACTCTTATTATTATTATTATTGGCCACAGTGCTAAGCACATAGTAGAAGTTCAATAAATCTTTGTTGGTGCCTGGTCACTGGCCTACCCTCTGCCCAAGCCCTGGTACTGGGTTCCCCCCTTATGTTCCTAGTGGCCCTTTCCCTGCCACCTTACTTACCACAGGTGGTCCATCTTCATCATACTGCCGAAGCTGTCCCATAAACTCCAGGTGCTTTTTCTCTTCCTCCAACTGGGCTACTGCCTGTTCACTTCGCTGTAGGCGCTGCTGGGTACCTGCCAGCTCATCCCTAAGCCACTGGTTCTCCTGACACAATCGCCGCACCTGGGCCCTAAGCTTCTGCTTCTCTGACTCCACTGTGCCCAGGTGGTTTGCCAGAGCCAGCATCACCTGGGAAGAGAGGATTAGACTGAAAGGTCTGTGGCAATGTGGGAAGAACACTAGATTGGGAGTTAGAGGGCTTGAGTTCAAATCCCAGCTCTGCAACTTACTATCTGTGTGATCTTAGAAAAGTCATTTCACCTTTGTGGGTCTCATATTCCTCCTCTATAAAAGAAAGAGGTTGGATTCAACATCCTCTAAATTCTCTTTCATCTTTAAATCTACACGCCTATTAAAACCATCAGGTGTATGGATGGAGGGCAACAGATCGAGCCTTAGTTTTCTCATTCATAAAATGAAGGAATGCACTAGGTGATCTCTAAAATAGAGAGCAGGGTACAATGGAACAGAAAAATGTAGAGGCCAGATCCATGTGAAACAGAAAGTGCTCTTTCTTACTGGGATTTCTTTTTGTTGAGTCATTTTTTCAGTCGTATCCAACTCTTTGTTGGGGTTTTCACATTTGTGGTTTTCTTGGCAAAGACACTGGAGTGGTTTGGCATCTCCTTCTCCAGCTCATTTTACAGATGAGAAACTGAGGCAAATAGGGTTAAGTGACTTGTTCAGGATCACACAACTGGTATGTGTCTGAAGCCTGATTTGAACTCAGGGAGATGAGTCTTCCTGACTTCAAGCCTGGTACTCTGTGCACTATGGTGCCACCTAGCTGCACTCTTAGCTAGTCAGTTTAGCCCAATTGTTCTTTCCTCCCAATTGTTCTCTCCTCTGCTCTGTCCTTTATCTCTTTTACTTAAATCAAGTCAATAAGCACTTATTAAGTGTATACTATGTACCAGGCACTGTGCTAAGTGCTAAGAATGGCAAAAAGGCCGTCCCTGATCTCACCAGACCCACAGTCTAATGGGAAGATAACATGTAGATGACTATGTATAAATAAGCTATATACAAGATAAATTGGAAATAATCAACAGAGGAAAAGCACTAGCATTAAGAGGGGTCGAGGAAGGCTTCCCATAGAAGGTGAGATTTCAGCTTAGACTTGAAGGTTGAGAAGCAAGAAGACAGAGATGAGGAAGAGTAGAATTCTGGTCAAGGGAGAGAGCCTGGGAAAATGCCTGGAGTGGGGAGATGACATGTCATGCCTGAGGAACAGCAGGAAAGCCAGTGTCACTGGATTGCAAAGTAGAAGATGATAAGATGTATTAAGACTGTAAAGGTAGGAAGGGACCAAATTATGAAGGGCTTTAAAAGCAAACCGAGGATTTTGTCATTTATCTTAGAGGTAAAAGGGAACTACTTAGAGTTTATTGAACAGAAGGGTGACATGGTCAGACCTATGCTTTAGGAAGATCGCAACTGAGTAGAGGATGGATTTGAGTGCCTAGAGATTTGTAGTAAGGAAACCAGACAAAAGACTATTGCAATAGTACAGATGTCAGGTACCGAAGGTCTGCATCAGAGTGGTCACGGTGTCAGAGGTGAGCAAGGGGCATATAAGAGAGATATTACAAAGATAAAATTGTCAGGACTCTTTTTACTGACCCTCCTGTCCCCACAACACATACCTCCCTCAGTTTTTTCCTGTCCCTTTCTCCCAGTTCTTTGTCCCGAATTTTCCTCACAAACCCACTCATCCTCCCCTTGAAATCTTACTCGTATCCTATCCTCCATTCCAGCCCTCTGTTTCCCAGTCTTCCCAATCTCACCTGTGCCTCCCCCAGACCCAGTTCAATGTTTTCCATGGAACGGCGAAGCTGCCGGGCCTTCTCATGTACCAGTCCAGCTTCATGGCCCTCATGCTGCAGGCACTGAATAGCATGAGCCAGGCTCTGTAACACTGCCTGGTGCTCGCTTCTCAGCGCTTCCAAACCCTGGCTCACCAGCCGAGTGCTCCCCAGGATCTCCTCTTGGCTCAACCGGTGCACTGGTGGCTCTTCCCGCTGTCCCAGAACCAGCCCTGACATCCTGGGTTAGGGGATCCCAACCTGGGCTAGGGAGAAATCATGAGAGAGAGAGAGACAGAGAGAGAAAGAGCTGTAACAATTTTGTTTTGTGGCAAAGAGATATCGCTATGACTGTAAGAGAAGAGAACTGAGTATACTAGGGAAAGCAAGACTCAACGTATGGAGATTAAGACTGGAGATGAGTAAAGTTCAGCAGAAGAGACATAGTAGGAGAAGCAATGGACCTCAGAGTTGAGGAAAGTATTGAACAGGAGAAATACACAAACATTACAGAAAGTGGAAGGGAAGAGGCTGGTATATAAAGGGGAGGGATAATGGGTTTAAATGGAAAAACCAGGACTTGGAATTGAGAGAGAGGGAGATGGTGAAGGAGGTCAGTGAAAGGAATAATAGAGCAAAAGAAAGACAGTTGATAACTATGTTCTAGAGAAGGAGAAAGAGAGAAGTAACAGTTCTCACAGTGTAAAAGAGACTGGAGGGGCCTCAGCAGCAAGGCTTGGACATAGTTGTCTCCATGAAGGTTTAGTCCTTTATTTCTCTTAGTTACTCAAGGTGCCTTAATCCCAACTTCACTCAGCCCTGGTTATCTCTGCTTCTTCTCCAATTCTTATTCTCTACCCTCTTCTTCCCTATGGCCCAGTCATTGTCCCAAGCCCTATCACCCCAACCAAGGGCAGAGCCTTGGACTGCAGGGCTGAGGCAGGAGCCAAAAGCCAGGAGCTAAGAGCCAGAAAGAACCTTACTCAGCTAAGCAGACTGGGAGACGCCCTCTACAAAGTCCAAGAGTCCAGTCCCGCCTCAACCTCCTCCCCCAACTATAAAGAGCACCTGTCACAGAGCCCCACCTAGAATAAATGCCTTTTTTTTTTTTTGCTACATGACCTGGCCCCAAACCCTCCAAAAGAACCATCTCCCCTATTTCCCCCAAGAAACACTAAGTCAGCCCTGAGTTCAGATCTCCTAAAGGGGAATAAGCATGAGTAAGGAGAGAGCTTGCCTGGAAACCCATGAAAGAGCAAAGTTCTGTTTCCCTAGGTTTATTAGTCAAGAAGGATCCTTGTGCCTAGAGCGAGGTGTGAGTACAAGGGTCTGTTTACGTGGAAACAGCAGAGGACACTCTCATTCTGCTTTGTTCCTCCCGCCTCTACCCCAGGCAATTAAAGTAAGGGATAATTCCCCAGTACTGGTGAGCAACATTTACTGACCTGCAAACTCAAGTCTTATTTTCCCAAGACAAACTAGGAAAGCGGAATGTCTGCCAAAGAGTAAGAGAAGGCGTAATAGTCTGAGTCTTTGAGGTTCGCTAGTAGGTATGGCTCCCTGAATTGGGGGAATGAGGTAGGGAGAGGAGAGAAGGCACATAACCCTTTACCTGTCTGAGTGTGTGTGTGGGGGGGGGGGGAGGTTGGTTTGTCTATCCTGGAAGCTATAATAGTTATAGTAGCTATATAATAATATGTAACATATAATAGTTATATATGTTACCTTTTCTCTAACCTGACAGAATGTATGTATTATGTCTCAAGGTAAAAACTGGGGATTCTATTTGTCTGTTGCCCAAGGAGTTAACGGTGTGTCACCTAAAGAAACAGTGATAACTATGGATCTATCTGTTCAAGAGGAAGAGAGGACCAAGTTTATCTGTCTTGGGGGGTGGGAAAGGTATCTGTCTGGAAATGCACGCCTGTCCCATGGGAGTGGGTAAAAGTCTGGGACAGAGAAGGATTAGAAGAGAAACTGTCTGTCTGTCCGTCCTACTAGGGAACGATTATGTGCATATGTCTGTCTGCCTCTTTGTCCTAGGAAAGGAGGAAGATGTTTATATGTATGTCTGCTTTAGGAGGGAGTGAGGATGTGTATGTTTCTATTTGTCCTAGCTGAGGATGAGGGTATGCATCTTTCTGTCCTAGGAGGAAATGAGGGCATGTCCATATCTATCAAAGAGGAGATGAGGATGTGTATATGTTTACACACAGTATACATACACAGTCTGTCTGTCCAAGGAGAATAAAGGTATGTGTGTCTGTGTGTCCTAAGAAACAGTGAGGGCATCTATCCAAGGAAGAGGTTCTTACCTGAAGAGGGAGGTGTGTGTCTGTCTGTCCAAGGAGGGAGTGAAAATGTGTACATATGTGTCTGCCCATCTGTCCAAGGAAGAAGTGAAGGTCTGTATGTGTCTGTCTGTCTGTCCGAGGAGGGGGTGAAAATGTGTACACGTGTGTCTAACTCTCTGTCCAAGAAAGAAATGAGGGTCTGTGTGTGTCTGTCTATCTGTCTATCTGTCTGTCTGTCCAAAAAGGGGATGAGAATGTGTGCATGTGTCTGCCAGTCTGTCCAAAGAGGAGGTGAGAGTGCGCATGTCTATGTGTCTGTCCAAGAAGGGGTGAGGTGTCCGTTGGTCCCAGGAGGGATTGAGGCTGTGTATATGTCCATCGGTCTGTTCAAGAAGGAAGCGAGCGTCTCTAGGTGTCCGTCCTCGGGAGAGGAGGAGGTGAGGGTGTGTCCGTCTATCTGTTCCGGGGGTGTCTCTCTTTGCCCTAGGGTGCCAGGGTGGGATCTGGGTCCCCAGCCTCTCTAGCTGGGGGGAGAGGAAGGGAGAAGAGGGAATTCTGCCAGAGACTCACCCTTGGCACGTCCGTCGGTCCGTCGGTCCGCCCGCTACCCCGCCAGTACTGCCCCCTTAAATCCAACATGGCCGGCGCTCAAGGCAATTGTTTTGACGGCTCCTGGGGGCGGAGTCTACCTCCGGTCACGCGGACAAGAAACCTCTCCGGGACTGGTTGTGGCCAGCGACGTCCCAGGGGGCCTACTTCTGCGTACCTGGACCCACCCCTCCAGCGCCTCCTAGCACAGGCTCCCTTCCTGACGTCACCGGACCCAGGGCGTTGCGTCATCAGAAGGCGCCGGGGTGAAGCGGGGAGGTGGCGTGTAGAGCTGATCCCCCCGATGGCCCTGCAGGCGCTGTCCCGAGCCTTGGGCTCCCTCAGCCTGGCCGCCGGCCCGCACCCTGCCGCCCAGGTAACCGCCTGCGGGGGTTTCAGAGCTTGTGCCCAGAGGCCCGGGCCTGCGGGAGCGGGGGGCGGCCTGGGGGGCAGAGGGGAAACAGCTTGGCCCCAGCTGTGCTCCTTTCAGAGGCCGTCCCCGGCCTGGGCAACAGGGCTGGGGAACACTCGGGGCTGGGAGTCAGAAGTCCTGGGTTCTGATCCTGTCCCTGTCCCTAACCACCTGGTGACCTTGGCCAAGTACTCATTTCTCTGCTCCGGGCTTTGGTCTTCTTATCTCTAAAATGAGGATAATAATCCCACCCTTCTCAGACCTTTTTTGAGAAAATCTGAGCTGTTACCATGGAATGTCAGAGCCAGGAGGAACTGCCACATTTTGCAGAGAACACTGAGGCACAGAGGCAGATTGAGGCAGGTAGGTGGGGTGGCAGATAGTGTGTTAGAAGGGAGGGCCCGAGTTGTAAATCCTGCCTCAGACATTTACTAGCTGTGGGAGATTGAGCATGTTAACCTCTTGCCAGACTCAGTTTTCTCACCTGTAACATGGAGATAATAACAGTACCTACCTCACAGGGTTGTTGTGAAGACCAAACCAAGTGAGATAATACAAGTGCTTTGCAAATTTTATACAGTGACATATTGAAAGCCTTCTGGATCCCAAACAATACTTTATTACTATTCTAGGCTTAACTAGAAAGTTCTGTGCAGATAGGAAAACTTCCAAACCTGACTCATAACAATCTCCAGGAAATGCGGAGGACCTTCCCTGGTTGAATCCACCCTGACCAGGGCATTGCTATTACTTCATTATCCCACCCAGCAATAAAATGAGTACTTTGTTCCTCTGAATTAGTTATTGCCTTTGTTAATGATTTTTTTTCCCACATTATATACAGTATTTGTTGCTGTTGTTCAGTCGTTTCATGTCTGACTCTTTGTGACCCCATTTGAGGTTTTCTTGGGAAAAATTCTGGAGTGATTTGCCATTTCCTTCTCCAGCTCATTTTTTTTTTAAACAGATGAGGAACTGAGGTAAATAGGGTTAAGAGACTTTCCTAGGGTCACATAGCTAGGCCAGATTTGAATTCACAAAGATGAGTCTTCCTAACTCCAGGCCTGGTACTCTATCCACTGCACCACCTAGCTGCCTCATCTACCAAATTGTAAAGGCTTCAATTGCAGGCCAGTGTCCTTTTTTTTTTTTTTGGCGAGGCAATTTGAGTTAAATGACTTGCCTAGGGTCAACACAGCTAGTAAATGTCAAGTGTCTGAGGATGGATTTGAACTCAGGTCCTCCCAACTCCAGGACTGGTGCTGTATCCACTGTGCCACCTAGCTGCCCCCTAAAGAAATTTCTAACAAGTAGAAAAGGGTAAGTCGTATGTGGGGAAACAGTCAAGACAAATGTGCCTCTGTAGAGAGTATGTTCGTAGTATAAAGGATAGGGTTCTTGGATCATACTAGAAATTAAAGTAAATAAGTCGGTTGGGTAGCTTCTTAGTAGTGATATGCTGTGAGCTGAAAGGAACCCCTTTCTAAATGCCCTTCCCTGAAGTGACTCCTTAAGTAAGGAGAGTTTTTCTCTTTGTCCCCAGGTGATGAGCAGTGTCTTCCTCCAACCTTCCTCACCTGGGGTGCTAATTGCCTGCCGATCTTTCCTGACCTCGGGGGTCCTTAATGCAAACATTGCTTCCTGGAAGAGTCGTACCAAATACACCATTATGCCAGTGAAGATGAGGAAGTCAGGGGGCCGGGACCACACAGGTAGGAATAACACTAGGTATGGTGGAAGCAGTATAGGGGAGAAATCTAGTGAAACTTTAAAGCCTGGCCAGCTCATGCTCCTTGGTCCCTGCAAGGGACAAGGGGAGGGATTTATTGAGGTGTACTGTATAACAGAATGCTGTACTAGATGATGGGTCTGGTGGAGCTACAGAGTGGTAGACAACGTGGGCTTCTATATATGGCATAGTATGAGTGTTGGAGTGAAGCATCGGAAGACCTAGATCCAAATCTTTGCTCCACTATTTATTCAGTATGTGACCTTGGGCAGGTCATTTAAGCTCTCTTCTCTGTGCTATTCTTCTCAACAAAATGGGAATAATAATATTGATACTGCCTACTTCACTGAAGTTATTGTGAAGGTAAAATGAGATCATATATGAAAAGTATTTGTAACCATGAAATAGTATCTAAATTATTATGGTCTTTGAACACTGGGGAGCTTATATGTTGAAGATTTTTTTTTTATTTTTGAGGCAGTCGGGGTTAAGTGACTTGGCCAGGGTCACATAGCTAATAAGTGTCTGATCCTGGATTTGAATTCAGGTCCTCCTGACTCCAGGGCCAGTGCTGTATCCACTGTGCCACCTAGTTGCCCCAAATATAGTTTCTTCAATATGTAGAGGTGATGAGGTCTTTCCAGTAGAAAAAAAAAACAACTGGATTTGGAGTCCAAGGACTTGGGTTCAAATCCTTGTTCTACTTACCGTGACCTTGGGCAAATCAAGTGAGCTCTAAGATCTCCGCATTTTCATCTGTAAATGAAGGGTTTAGACTAGATAACCCTTGACATCCCTTTGAGCTCTGATTCTGTGATCCTACTTCGGTAACCTGTGATGTCATTGTGGACAGGCACTACTTATATTGATAGAGAGTTGCTGGAAGCAACCAGATTCATCATCATTGCCCACCCCACCCCCACTATAGCCAACTTAGTGCTGAGCCTCTGATTTCTTAGGCTGGTCCTCAGGTAACAGACATGCCATCTGTGCCATGGCCCTAGAGCTTGTGCTCTGCTGGCACAGCCTGTGGGAACCCACTCACCTCCAAGTCTTGAGGGTTAGTGGAGGAGTACTCAGCCAAGGAGTAAGCAACCAAAAAATAATTATGAAGCAATCTGTTAACAAGTGCAAGGTGGTACAGTGGACGGTACGGCGCTGGGCCTGGAGTCAGGAAGACTCATCTTCCTGAGTTCAAATCCAGCCTCAGACACTTTCTAGCTGTGTGACCCCGGACTAGTCATTTAACCCTGCTTTTCTCAGTTTCCACACCTGTGAAATGAATTGGAGAAGGAAATGGCAAAACACTCCAGTTTTCTTGCCAAGAAAACCTCAAGTGGAGCCACAGAGGGTCAGACATGACTGAAAACAGCTGAACAACAACAGACTAAATAGCACATTACCTGGAAAAATGTCTGGTAAATGAGTGATCACATTGAGATGGGATTAGTCAGGAAAAGCTGGATTAACCAGGTGTTATCTCTAAAACCTGTCCCTCCTCCAGACTTCTCTTTTTGACTTTTTCCTTCTCTATAATCCTCCATATTCTGTTAGTAACCTAGATTCTGCCCACACAGTTGTCTTTCACATCTGTCCCTTCATTGATTCATCATAACCACCCTACATCAGGCCTGTCTCTGCTCACCTGGCCTACACTATCCTCCAATTTTGTTATATTCCAATCTGTTCTTCACAGTGTTGCCAGAATACTCTTTCATACATGGGATATTTTTCCTAAAATCTTTCAGATGCTCCCCATCGTCTTCTATATTTTGAGAGATCTCTTGTTTCACTGATATTGGTATGAGCTTCACAGGACAAATCACCACCTTTCCAGGCTTCCTGATCAGTTGTTGTTTCTCCTGTGCAGCTTTGTTGGTGAGATACTCCATTTGCTTCTCGGTTGACCTATGGGTAACCTACTACTTTAATTTTTCAGATACTAGTATTCCATCATTCACAACAATATAGAATCACTGGAAGAATGTTAATGTTTAAAAAAATTGTGTCTTTGTTTCAGGAGAGAAACTTGAGGTCATTAAAATCACTGTGCAATTTTCCAAAAGCGTTTCAACCCATTCTCTTCTTTCACTTAATTCTGGGTAAATTGTTTCTGTCCAAGATATATGGATGAATGGCTAGGTAGTGTAGTGGAAGGATCACTGGACTTGGAATCAGGAAAACCTGAGTTAAAATCCTGCTGCCGATACTTAGTAGCTATGTGACTGGGCAAGTGACTTAAGTCTCAGTCCCTGCCTCAGATTTCTCATTTGTAAAATGGAGATAATAAAAGCACCTGTCTCCTAAGGTTGTTGGGAGGATTCAGTGAAGGTATATAAAGCACTTTGCAAACAAATACTATATAAATATTGATGGACCAGCTCTGTGGGTTATCTCTCCAGCAGCATATGAATAGATAATAGACATTCTTTATCTATTTGATTTTTTTCCTTCCAGGCTAGTGAAGTGTTTTAAATGATTGTATAGTCTCTTATTTAGGAGGTTCTGCAGTGTTACGGGGGGCAGCTAGGTGATGAAGTGGATAGGGTGCCAGGCCTGGAGTCAGAAAGACCTGAGTTCAGATCTGACCTCAGACACTTACTAGCTATGTGACCGTGGGCAAGTCACTTAACCCTGTTTGTCTCAGTTCCCTCATCTGTAAAATGAGCTGGAGAAGGAAATGGTGAACCACTCCACTATCTTTGCCAAGAAAACCCTAAATGGGGTCACAAAGATTCAGACACAACTGAAAAACAATTGAACAACAACAACAAGCAGTGTTACAGAGCTTGATGTAATCAGCAAAAAGTTATTTGCAAACACAAGCATCTAAGAAGGACCTCACACAATGGATATGCATCACATCACTGGCCCACTTTGACACAGACTCTGCAGTGGACATCCTCTATATTGGTGGCAGATAGCTTTGTCCTTTATACATCTCCTTCTTTGATGTTAATAATCAGAAGGTCATTGCACAGCTACCTTTGTTAAATCTTTTTTAAGAAATAACATTCTTATTCTTACCTATAACATCACTAATGTGAAAATATTTTTAATAGTAATATATACGTATAGCCTATATCAGATTGTGTGCCATCTTGGGGAGGGAGGTGGGAAGGGAGAGGGAGGAAAAATTTTAAACTCAAAAGCTTATGGAAGTGATTGTTGATAATTCAAAATAAATTAATTTAAAAAAAAGAAAGAAATAACATTCTTTAGTTAAGCCCACTATCCCTTATGTCTGTCCCATTATCTCCATCCACATGACCACTACCTGAGTTCATGCCCTCATTACCTCCTTCTTAGACTTCTGTAATAGTGTCCTAATTGATCTCCCTTCTCTCCAATTTGTTCTCAACACAGCTGACAGATTAATAGTCATAAAACAGTTCTGGCCATGTCACTCCCCTCCTCAAAAAATCTTTAGTAGCACTCAATTGCCTTCTCTGGGCATCTAAGTGGCATAGTGGATAAAGTGCCAGACCTGGAGTCTAGAAGACTCTTTCTGAGTTCAAATCTGGCCTCAGATACTTACTAGCTATATGACCCTGGACAAGTCATTTAACCCTGTTTGCCTCAGTTTCCTCATCTGTAAAATAAGCTGGAGAAGGAAACGGTGAACCACTCCAGTAACTTTGCCAAGAAAACCCCAGAATGGGGCGTGAAGATTCATACACAACTGAAAAATGACTAAACAATTGCTTCCTCAGCCTGGCATTCAAAACTTCTCACAAACTGGCTCCACCTTGCTTTCCAAACATATTTCACACTACTCAGATCATGTACTTGAAACTCCAGACAAAATGGCTTGTTTGCTCATCAAATTTGTTAGTCTTTCTCCTGTCCCCATGCATGAAGTGTATGCCCTCCTTATCTCTGTCTTAGAGAACCCTTTGCTTTCTTCCAGGCTCAGCTCAGGAGCCATCTTTCTTAGAAATACCTTTCCTGAAGCCCTATAGCGAGTGTTCTTTTCTTCCTCAAATCTTGTATTTACTTCCTCAAATCTTATCTTGTATTTACATCTTTGGGTATATATTATATCCTTCTAGTAAAATATAAGTTCCTTGAAGGGATATTAATAAATGTTTGACTTACTGTTGACGGCATTCTGGAGGAGGTGAGTTTTGATCTAGGCCTTGAAAAAAGTTAGGGACTTCAGCTGGCATGTAAGAGGGGAAAGATGTAATCCAGATAAAGGGAATGACATGGTTGTATTGGGCTGAGGCATCCTTTCCTTGTACTTCCTTGCACAGGACTTCTTTCCGTATAAAGAGTATGAATTTTCTTAACCAGAATTGCATTACACTCTTCTTCCCCTTCCCACAGGTCGCATCAGAGTGCATGGTATTGGTGGAGGCCACAAACAGTGTTACCGGATGATTGACTTTCTTCGGTTTCGGCCTGAGCACGAGGCCAGGTCTGGGCCTTTTGAGGAGAAGGTCATTGATATCCGCTATGATCCCTGTAGGCAAGTATGAAGTATAGGTTTTAAGGGGTTCAGCCAAAACAGGGGAACAGAGACTGAAGGAAAACATTCAAAGCCCTTCGAGTAGCACAGGGGGCTGACAGTGCTTCCAGGAAAAGTTGAAGGTCTTCAGGGAGGGGATTCTAGGGCTTCAAAATTAGCCCAGATGACCTTCCTATGTATCCTTCACCTCATTTCACTCAGATCTGCAGACATTGCCCTTGTTGCTGGGGGCAATAGGAAACGCTGGATCATTGCCACTGAAAACATGCAAGTGGGAGACATACTCCTTAATTCTGACCACATTGGCCGCATGGCAGGTGAGGGAAAGCCACAGCCTGGGGTGAGGGTGAAGGGTTTGTTAATGGTCAGGTGAGTTGCCTGAGAGATGGTAAGGATTCCCAATTAAACTGTCTTTTAGTTGCTGCCCGGGAGGGGGATGCACATCCTCTGGGAGCCCTGCCCATCGGGACTCTGATCAACAACTTGGAAAGTGAGCCAGGCCGGGGTGCCCAGTATATCCGAGCTGCAGGTATGAAATTAAGGCTGGGTGAGGATTGGGTAGGGCATCTGAAACCACAGAAGAAGTGGAATGGAAAACTCATTCCCCATGATGAAGGCTGTTAGCCACGATGGAAAAAAAAAACAAAAACCCAGGAAACATGAATAAAGGTAACAGTTCCCCAGGAAATACAATGAGGATATGATCCTGTTGTCAGGTTGAAGTGTTCTGTCCATCCTGTTGCCCCATGTATCAATTCCTGGGTTATGTGTTATGGATATGTTGTATAGAGATTATTTGGGGGAGATCTGAGTTGGGACTCTGTCTTACACAGGAACCTGTGGTGTGCTTTTGCGGAAGGTCAATGGGACAGCCATTGTTCAGTTGCCCTCTAAGAGGCAAATGCAGGTATGTGTGGGTGAAGGTGGGGAGGCTGGCATGAGAATTGGCAATAAATGTACCCTTTCCTGGATCTGGTATCTCATGGTTCTGGGGTGCTTCAAGGTTTCTATGTGTCCTGTTTCAGTATACCCCCAAGTACCCACAGACTGTGGTTGTCCTTGTTTCTTTGCTCATTGAAACTGAGGTAAAGGGGAAATATTTTTCTCTTCACTCACTCCACAGTGAGTTTTCCCTGTCCCTCACAATGCCTCTATTCTGCTACCTATGCCTAGGTTCATTATTGCTGCCCTTTGTTTGGATTTGGGGGGGGTGGTCCTGTTCTCCTTTCTATCAGGTTTAGCCTATGGTCTGGTCTGGGCTTCTCTCAGTGCATTCTGCCCTGCCATTTTCTCCACTGTAGCTCTTGCCCTCACCACCCCTTTCATTCTTAGGTGCTAGAGACATGTATAGCCACAGTCGGCCGGGTGTCAAATGTGGATCACAATAAGCGAGTCATCGGAAAGGCTGGGCGAAACCGCTGGTTGGGCAAAAGACCCAACAGTGGACTCTGGCAACGAAAAGGAGGTTGGGCTGGCCGAAAGATCAAGCCCCTACCCCCAATGAAGAGTTATGTGAAGTTACCTTCTGCTGCTGCCCAGAGCTGACACCCTGATCTACCCCCCTGCCTCCCAATAAACTGAATCCCTCTGACTGGTTTCTCTCTTCTTATTGCAGCCTAGGGACAAGAGGAATAGTCCAGTGGTGTTGGGGCCAGGAGCAGTGTGTTATAGGGGAGGAAAAACGTGCCAGTGGCATTGAGAACAGGAGGAACATGCCAGTGGCTGGGAGATAGAAGAGACATACCAGGGACATTGGGGACAAAAGAAGGAACACGCCAGGGGTGTCTGGACATGCCAGGGGGGATGTGCCAGAGGTGTTGAGATGGAAAAGGGCACGGGACCGGGGTTTTGGGAATAGGAGGAGGAACATGTCAGGGGTGTCCAGGACAGGAGGGGGAATGTGCCGGGGTGTTGAGATGGAAGGCGGAACATGCCAGGGGTGTTGGGGATAGGAGGACTATTCCGGGGTGTTGGGACAGGAGGAGGAACGTGCCAGGGGCCTCAGGAACGGGGACGGAGGAGGGTGGGCGGGAAAGCCGGGGGCACGGGTTCGCTCCGCTGCCACTGAAGCCCCGCCCCATCTGGTCCTTTGCTTCCACCCCGAAGACCTTCGGCTTTCCGTAGCGCTTCGTTGCCCGGAGGAAACGAGACACCGGGGAGTTGACGGGAACTCGGAAGAGCCATTCCCCGCCGTGCGTGGCGCACCCAGTGGGGATCTCCTCCCCCTCTTCGGATAGCGGCTGAGTGGGCCTCCTGGACCAGCGCACACTCCGACTCCACCCCTCCCCATGGCAGAGCCACGCGGACCCGCGGACCGGTGGACCTGGCCCCTTGACCAACCCCCCAACCCTTGTCCGGTACACGCCCTCTCCTTTCCCGGGAATGTCTGGGCTCCAGAGTGGCACTACGCAGGCTCACTGCGCGCCCTCCAAGGAACGTTCCACCCTCACGCTCCCCTCCTTCTCCCCGCCCCTTCATTTGCCCCTGGGCTCCACTGCGGCGCGGGTCCGGGCTCCATGTCCGCACCCCAGTGATCCCGCTTCTGCTTCGTCCACACCCTGTTCTCCACCCCTCCCTGCCTGAGCTCCAGCTCTCCTTTCTGCATGCATCCTTCGCCTCCTGTGGTCCCTTCCTTGAGCCTGCCCATCCCCACTCTTCCCCTGCCTGATGTCACTTCTCACCTTTCCCCAGGGTCTCTTTACTGGTCCCTGCTATTACCTGTCTCTTAATCCTTGAACAAATGGTGACTCCTTATTATCCTTCCTCCTCCCAAGTTATATTCCCCAGTTTACCTTCCATAGTTTTCCAATTGTAGTCTCATCCTTCCTGGCAACTGAAACCCTCTGGTAACACCCTCTTGCCCACACTTACAGCATCCACATAGCCCTATGCTTGTGCCCCTGCCCCTGATCACTGGTCCTAGGTTCCTCTTCCCTTTGTCTCTTCTGACATGATAAGTGAATTCTGCCCTACAACCTTCTTCCACGTCCCCATAGCTGCTTATTTCACAATGAGTGCTTTTCCTCACTCTGCTCCTTTTCCTCCTCTGCTCCAGGTGCCCAGGATGGTGGGAGAACGTAGAAGCAGAGATATGCTGGTGCCTCTGGGCCCACGACTGCAGGCATACCCTGAGGAACTGCTCCGGCAACGCCAGGGTCATGATGGGCATCCAGAGTACTTGATCCGTTGGACTGTCCTTCAGCGTGGGAAGGAGGGTGGAGTAGGCAGTGGCAGCTCCCTGGAGGGCAAGGCAGAGCATATCCTCATGTGGCTCTCAGCCCCCGAGGTCTATGCCAACTGCCCCATGCTACTTGGTGAACGAGCACCAGCCACGGGACCACAGCATGAACCAGTGGGGAGTGTGAGTGCCTTTCCGCGGGATGCGGGGGGGCTGGACGAAGCCTCTCTGGGAGAGATGGCCGCAGATGTTAGAGGACTGGTGCGTCGAGCTGCCAGACAACTGGACGGTGGTGGGGGCTCGAGTCCTGCAGCCTCCGTGCTACACACCATCCACGTGCTCAGCGCCTATGCCAGCATCGGACCCCTTGCTGGTGTCTTCAGGGAGACAGGAGCCTTGGACCTGCTCATGCACATGCTGGGCAACCCTGAGCCACAGATTCGCAGGAGTGCTGGCAAGATGCTACAGGCCTTGGCAGCCCATGATGCTGGTGAGGGCCAGCGGGGGAAAGAAAAGGGAAGCAGGAAAGGAGGTGGGACAACAGCATGACCTGGGATGAGGGACCGCTTGCAAAAAGAGGATGTCAGCACCTTTTGGTTTCATCAGTGAAAGTGATGTCTGCCTGGGCTCAGTTGCAGTGAACTTAGAGCTACAGGTTCACACCCATTGATGAAAGAGAACTATGAACAGAAAGAGACAGTTTCTCTCTTTCATAGAGTTTAGAACTTCCTGACCAGATGTTAGTCCAGATGGTTATTGTGTAAGACATAGTCTCCCTTCTCAGAGCATTGTTCCCCCTGTCAGCCCCTTTGGTGGGAAAGGACCTGGTTCCAGTGGAGGGTGGAAGAGAGTGAGTCTGAGAGGCAGGTGATGAGAGTTGAGAACTGGGCAGAAGGTGGTAAGTGGGCTCCCTGGGACAGGATGCAGAGCAGGGCTTGTATTTTAGGGAGCAGGGCCCATGTGCTCCTGTCACTGAGCCAGCAGGATGGCATCGAACAACACATGGACTTTGATAGCCGCTCCACTCTGTTGGAGCTGTTTGCAGAGACCACATCTTCTGAAGAGCACTGCATAGCCTTTGAAGGGATCCACCTGCCCCAGGTAACCTAAAGGAGTTGGGAAAAGGGCTGAGGGCTGGGCTTTCATCCCTCATCACCTCCCCCCCCAATCTGTTGGCAATATAGTTAGAAGAAGCAAAGTGGGGAGATCACTGACCTGAGCCTAGGGTGTTTATCCTGCAGATCCCTGGAAAGCTGCTCTTCTCCTTAGTGAAGCGTTACTTATGTGTCACATCCCTCCTGGACCAGCTAAGTAGCAGTGTGGAACCAGGGCCTGGGGAGTGGGGGAACCGGTGCTCCCCTAACAAGGCCTCCATTGTGGAGAAGAGTCGTGGACAAAGGGAATTGGAGTTTAGCATGGCCATGGGCAACCTGATTTCCGAATTGGTTCGGGGCATGGGTTGGGACCGGGGCCCAGGGAGGCAGCCTGCATCTCCCCCTCAGCCTGCCCGATCTATCTTTCAGCCCCGATCGTCTGTGCCAAGCACCATTCTCCCAACCCTGCTTACCCCTCCTTCCCCCAGGAGGCCAAGCCGGGCCTTCAGACCACGGTCTGAGTTCTCGAGCCTGAGTGGCTATGCTGACTATGTTCAGGAGACGTTACAGCCGGGGATGCGTGTTCGAATGCTGGAAGATTATGAGGAGATCGGTGCTGGGGACCAAGGCGAGTTCCGGCAGAGCAACAATGGAATGCCCCCTGTACAGGTATATGTGAATGAGGTGGGAATGGTGACCTGGAGGATGGGGGAGGGTAGTTGTGTACATAGCAGGTCATAAAGCAAGCTAGATTACAGTGGCATCACTAGAAGAGAAAGAGAAAACCTAGAGAGAGTAGGGGAAGGTTAGAGAATGACTATGTGTTTCCCCATCCTGCCCCACCCCTACCTCATCCATCCCTAGGGAAAGGGAATGACCATTTGGAGAAGATAGCACTAAGAGGCCAGATATAGAGATGACTCATGGTAGGTGAGAAAGAAACAGAAACAACCAAGTATACTGTCATCCACCTTCTCTTCTCATTTGGCAGAGGAGAGAGATACAAGTTTTCCCCAATCTCCGCTCTAGGGAGAGCTGCCCAAGCCCCGGATTTGTGAGTGGCTGTTATGGAGGCTCTTGTTGGAAGGGGCCTTATGGGCCCCACATCTGGGCCTCTACCTGAAGTTGCTCCCCTGGCCCAAGTGACTAAACTTCCTCCCCTCTTCATGCCCCAGGTGCTGTGGCAGTCGACAGGCCGCACCTATTGGGTGCACTGGCACATGGTGGAGATTCTGGGTCCTGTAACTGAGGACAGAGTGGCTGCTGAGCCAGAGAAAGGGACAGGGGGCAGCAAGTGCCTGGCCCCAAGTATAGGTGAGCTTGGGGAGGCAAGCACATGGGTTCCTTGGGGAGTAGTATTTGGAGGATTGTCTGGGTTAGAGGAACAGTGAGTGAAGAAAGACAGTACTCCTGACCAGGAGCTGCCCTAAGTGGGTCCAGTATCACATTCTCTTGGTCAATACCCTCATGCTTGTGCCAACAGCGCCTCCTTCCTTATACTGGAAATCCCTTGCGGGACTATATACTGTGCCATACCTTAAACCTGAGGCTCAGAGCAACACAGAGTCTGGATGCCTGAGCCAGGCTGAATGGTGGGAGCTGCTTTTCTTCATCAAGAAGCTGAATGGGCCCGAGCAACAGGAATTTCTCCAGCTCCTCCAGGAGAACCTGGATGGGGAGGTATGTTGGGCCCAGGAATGGAGCTCTGAGAGGCTGGTCTGCTGGTAAGGGAGAGGTGAGTCAGGATGGGAAGGACTAGTAAGTGGAGATCAGGTCTAAAGGGCTTCAAAAGCTGGACATGGGCAGCACTCACAGTGACCTGCTGAACTCTCATGTCTACTACAAGCGTGGGCCACAGGCCAACACAGGAAATTCAGCCAGCCTGGCCCCTGTAGTGTCTCAGGACACCTGTACACCAAAAGCACTATTGCCAGAGAAAATGAAGTTGAAGGCTGAGCCCCACAAAGCATGGAATGATTCCCATCCATTCAGTGGACTGAGGCTTCTAGTGGTTAGGCAGGAGAGAAATAGAGACAATCAAAACTACCATTACCTACCACCTTTTCCTCCCAGTTGGCAGAGGAAAGAAGGACATATGTTTGGTTTCTTTTTGTCCTCTTTACCCAACTTCCACTCCAGGGAGAGGTTGCCTAAGCCTTGGCTGAGTAACCTTTATGGAGGTGATACTTGGAAGGGGCCTTATGTGCCCCAGGTCTGGGCTCTAGCTGAGGTTGCTTCCCCTGACCCCCAGTTTCATACTGAGTGGTACTGAACTTTCTCCATCCAAGAGAACACAGATGGGGAGGTATGTTGGGCCTA